ATGACATTTAGGTGGCTTATGCGGCTTACTTCAGGTAAATATAGAACTTCAGCTGGACTTGTAAGAAGATTTTAATAGGGCGCAGACTTAAAGAGCTGTCTTTCCGCACTGCTTGTGGTGAGAGGATCTTAGTCAGAATTCGCTCCTCCCACACCCATGAAGTACTCGTCCTGTCTCTGTGCCAGGGAGCCTATATTTGTCTTCTAAAGCCCTTGCCAGAGACAGCTCTATTCAAACCACTTGGACATGCACTAGCTGCTTACCTCTCAAAAATAGTCCACATGGAATTCGATGCATCCCCAGAGCATTCTCTGGGCATTTCTTACAGCGACAAACAAGATGCTTGCTCACTGTGTTGTATGTGCAGTCAGAGGCACCTGAGGGGGTCAGGCATGTGCCCAGCAGGTGGCCAGGTGGCATCTGAGAGCTTGGTGCACCTCTCTGTTGGCCCCCCAGTCATCGGTTGCATGACAGACAGCCTGAGAGTGCAGGTTACATAACAGCGCCATGCCGAGGCATCCCTTCTGTACACCCATTTTTCATGGAACTCTGCTCTGGTGAACCCAGGTGGGCTGTTCCCTCCCATCCAGGCTGGTGTTTGGGGGCAGAGAAGGGACCAGTATAGAGGGGCGGGGCACTGACTCTAGAAGCCAAAGGCTTGGACTTCAGTCCCACCTCTGCCATCAGCTCGCTGTGTGACCTCAGGATCTCCAGTCCCCAGGGAGGAGGGCATAGGCATTTTGGAAGGGACAATTGTTCATTGTGTGGGATTGTTGTACAAGGCAGAGTGTTTAGACTATGCAGCCCCTGAGAACCACTGGCTTGCAATTGTCCATTCTCTCTTCTCTGACATTCTGATACTCTAGGGGAAATTGGGAGCTCTGATCTCCCCACAAGAGGCATCATTTTCTTCCTGCCTTCCCACCATGAGACACCCCCCCACACACATGATTCCATATCTTTACTGTCAGCCACACCCGTCTCCAGTCGAGACTTGCTTGTCCTGAGTCTGAGCTCCTCATGGCGGCTCTTGGCTTGGTGGGGTCATCACTCACTCCCATTCAATTTTACTCATTATGCTAGTGGTTCAATTCATCAGCAAAACGGTGCAATTTCTTGCTTTCCCATCCACAGACTCTCAGATGCTGGAGCTAGGGGAAGCGTGTGGACCAGTCTGTGACTGGGACGACAGTGCTGGGCGGGGAGCAAACAATCCAGTCTAGGCAGGTCCCCGACACTGTGTCCCTAGAGCTCCCACTCTGCTCCCAGCCTTTCCCTCCTACCTAATCTTGCCCCATGGTGATGAGCCGGATGAGTCTTTCTGCACTAGCAGTAGAACCTAAAGCCAGCTGGGCTTCAGAAAGAGACACAGGTGACCCAAATCCCAGCTCTGCCCCTGCTGCCTGTGTGACCTGGTGTAATCTACCTAACTGTGGAGCTTCCTTGTTCTCAAAGAACCTCATGGAATAAATTGGGACAATGCCTGCGTTTTCCTGGTACAAAGCAGGTGCTCGGGAATGGTGGCGATGGCTACTGCTATTGTCGTCAGCATGCCTGTTCTCCTCTCCCTGCAGTGGCTTCCTGCCAGATTCAGAGGCAAAGTGCAAACTCCTTCACTGGTTTGGAGGGCTCTGCGATCTTCCTGTTCCCGTGCAAGCATTCTGTTCCCATGCACCCCGTCCAGTCCACACCCCCAGCACACTGTCAAGTTCAAAGCCATTGCAAGGTTATAGGCATCACGGAACCGCAATTGCACCATCACCAATCGCAGTCTGGGGTGGGGCCCCTCTTACCTTTGCCACCTGAAGCTTGAGTCCTCTTGTCACCTGCTGTGCTGGCACTTTCCACAGCCCAGGGCCCGGGCTGCCTCTTCACCAACAAGTCTGTGGTTGTCAAAGGTGCTGGGGAGTGAGGCCCGGGAGCCCGAGCTGTCCTGAGCTCTAGCTCTAGTTCTGCAATGATCGGCTTCATGAATGTCAGTCATAGAGACCTTCCTTCAAGGGCTTCTTTGATCTTTGCTACCGCCAGGTGCAGTCAGTTTCCTGCTCTTCCCTAGGGAGCACCCAAGGGCTAGGCTTGGCTTCCGCCTTAACAGAGGGCACATGAGGAGCGTCCGCGTGGGCTAGAGGTTTGCCCCAGCACTGGGGTCTGCCCTACGCTGCTCTGATGGCTAACACCTGGGGTAGAATCTCTTACTGACGGCCTGAACTCCTGGCCCCAGGCCCACTCTGGCCTCTGTTGTCTCTTCATCTTCATCCTGCTCACCTGAATTCCTGGCACTCTGTGTGCTCCGACCTTGGGCATGATGCCCCTTACTCCCCTCTCTGGCTGTCCCAAGAGAGGCTTGGTGGGCCCCAATCCATTGCAGGCTACAGTTTGCTGGAAGTCCAAGGTCAAGGTGTCAGTGGCCGTGCTCTGCCAAAGACCCAGGGAGGACCCTTCCTTGCCTCTTCCAGCATCTGGCAGACCCAGGTTTCCTTGGCTTGTGGCCGCATCGCTCCAGTCCCTGCCTCCCTCTGCACACGCACCCACCCCCGAGCCCCCGTTCTCTGGATCTCCTATACGGACACTTGGATTTCAGCCCACTCAGGTAATCAGGGATGATCTCATCTTGAGATCCGAATTACATCTGCAAAATACCCTTTTTCCAAATAGGGTCACATTCACAAGTTGTGGAGGTTAGAACATGAATGTATCTTTTAGGGGACACCGTTCAACCCACTCTGTTGAATGGCCTTGGAAACATCACTTGCCCTCTTCGAGGCTCAATTTCGTCATCTATGAAATGGGGACAGTGAGTCCTACCTTACAAGGTTGCCATGAAAATTAAAGTGAATGCGTTCTCATATAGCAGGCTCTCTAGACACACACATTTCTATCTGTGCAGGCTCCAACCCTGTGGCACGGAGGGTCTCAGTTACAAATCCCTTAACCATGCGCACCTCTGTCCACCTTCTGTTCCCGCCCTGGTCTTCCTTCTCTGGCTTTCTGACCTTCTCTGTGTTGCTAAAACTCCTAGCATGATGTCTTCCATGTGGAAACCCTTACTGCATAGTTTTTAATTAAGCCATGTCCCCAGGCCAGGCTGGCTGTCCCTAAGTCCTCGGTGGTGAGCATCTAGACCCACCACCAGTCACAAGAGCTAACATCCTTAGAGCTGTGTGGCCTTAGCCAAATGTCTTAACTTCTCTGAGCCCCAGGTTCTTCACCTGCAGGCAAAGCTAATGGTGCCTGTCTTGGCAGCCCAGCCCAGCCTCATGTGAAGATCAACTGGGATAATGTGGGTGTCACCCCACTTCTTTCTAGGGTGTCCCTCTCTGCCTCCCTTCTGTCCCCCCAGTTGAAGTCCGGCCACTGCCTCTCCTGGCCAGGGCTTACTCACTGCCAGTGACTTGTCAGCCAGCCTGGTCCTGAGCGGAGACTGTGCAGGACGGGGCCTCATGGCCGGGGATGTCACGCCCGGGCACCAGGCCTGCCTCTCTGCCCAGGGGCTCCCTGGTGCTGCCAGGACCAGCTGGGCAATGAGGAGAGAAGACCCATTGTCCTGGGAGGGGAGGGTGCGGCAGGGGCCCCTGGCTCCAGAGCACAAGAAGGAGGAGAACAAAGCACTTTAAAGCCAGCGAGGCCTCGGGTCAGATCTGCACTCTGACTTTCTAGCCCTGAGCTGGGCACATGAACCCTCTGAGCCTCAGTTTCCCCACCTGTACACGGAAATGACAGTCCTTATTTGCAGGCTGTGTTGAGGACCAGAGGTCGTGACTCGGAAGCAGGCATGTGGCCCTGATGCAAAAGGCAAAGGAAAGAAGACTAACATTTATTATGCACTTCTTGTTGGCCGGATGCTACGCACGTGCTTTTCCTCATTTTATTTGTACAACTGTGTGCAGCAATAAGATGGGGAGAGTGAGGTTTAGACATGTGACATGACCAGGGACAGCTAGTAAGAGAGATGGCATCTGTATTTGACCCCACACTGGTCTAGACCTAAAGCCCAAGCTGAGGTCACTGCTCCCATCGGCTCCCCTGCCCAGCGAGTACCCACTCTGGCCCCCAGAGGGAAACACCTCGTTATGGAAGGAAAGGGGCTGTGACCATGGGCACAGTGACCACTGGGGTGGCCAGATCAAGTGGTCCTGATGACAGACACTCACCGCCACCCACTCCTCAGCCTTCAGTGGGGCCTGTCACCTTCATCCTCTGGCCCTCCCGGATCTGCTCCTGTGACATCTTCTGCCTGCCCCTTCCCCCTCCCTGCTGTCTGGGCCGGCATCAGCCAGCTGGAGACAGGTCCCACAGCCCCGAGCTTTCTCCCCGACCTTGCGTGTGCCACTAACACCAGGGGCCCCTCATGCTGGGCGTGGAGCCCACATCTGTGCCCTGCGGTGACCCTGCATGCTCAATTCTGTCTCTGCATGAGCCACATTAGGATGCCGTGATTCCTAACGCTCCTCTCTTCTTGTAGTCTGGGGTTGTCTTAAATGCGGCCGAAGAGAGCTTGGGTCAGTATCTTGGGGAAGGGGAAGGGAGAGCGTATCTGAAGTGGTATTTTAGCATCCCATTGCCTCTTGCCCCCTCCTGGAGAGGTCTGGGTGTGTCCAGGGACAGGTTTGGGACACATAGTTATTTTCCAAACACCTCCCAGCCAATTCTGGCTGGGGACTTGTCTCTCACCCTAAGCATCACTTTGGGCCGGGCCATTGAACAGCACAGGGAGACAGATGGACTCCCCATTGCTCGCTTTTTTGGGAAACCCGTGTTTACATACTCTGGGGGCTGAGCCCAGGACATTATGAGGCATCATTAATGCGGGGAAACTGAGCTTGGCTGCGGGGGGGTGGGGTTGGGAGGGGCGTCCATGTTGGGGACCCCCCAGTGAACGTTGGTGGGGAGGGGGCCTGGAGGTGGAGCAAACGAGGTCCCCTGGGTCCCTCTGGTGTATGAAGACCTTCCTTATGATAATAACCTGTCCGTGGTAAAATCCTGCACTCTCTTTTTCTCAGGTTTGTGACAGCATCCTGAGCTGGTGACAGACCCACTCTGTGACTGTCAGTCGAATTCGGCCACCAGATCCCAGAAACATGACCCTCGCCGGTAGGTACACACCTGCCGCGTGTGTGGCGGGGTGCCGTGGCCTAGGCTGTGCCCCCATCCCTGCCCCCTGCGTGTGCACTTACGCAGGGACACAAAGGGCTGCTGAGACACACCACAAAGGCACAAAGAAAGCCGCCCCTGGTGGTGGGTGGGGTCACGGCTGAGGTTTATTTTCCTTTTGCTCATCTGTATGGTGTTTTGCAAAAAGTTTTTACGACACCCACGTAGTGTTTTTGCAGTTAGTTATGTTTTCAGACTTGTGAAAGGAGATGAGGGGCGAGCACACGCTGGGGGCATTGGGGGCTGCAGCCTGAGCCACCAGGGCAGCAGGGGAGGGGCTGGGGGGACACAGCCAGGCCAGGGCAGCGCTGGTCGGGGTGGAGGGTCACACTGCAGCCCTGGTGGGCACTGGCCCCCTGGGAAGGCTCCCAGCCTGACTTCGTGAGGGGCCAGGGCAGAGGGACGGCGGTGAGGGTGCTCCCTCCCGCCCAGCTTCTTGACACTCTGGGCAGCACTGCCAAGGGCTGTGGCAGTTCTCCTGCTCACGTGTCCCGTGTCTCCACAGCCTACAAAGAGAAGATGAAGGAGCTCCCGCTGGTGTCCTTGTTCTGCTCCTGCTTCCTGGCTGACCCCCTGAATAAGTCGTCCTACAAATACGAAGGTCAGTGAAGGCACAGGGAGGTGACGGGCAGAGGCTCCTGTGTCCCGGCCCTGGGGCATTGCACCCTGGCCCGGTTTCCTGCCCAGAACCAGTGACATCAGGGCCAGGGACCTGAAGGGCTGAGCTGCAGGGGTGCGTCCCGGGCACTGCGGGCAGCCCCTGAAGGGCCGAGTCAGGCGTCCCCAGGGTGCGCCAGATCTTAGCGTCACCTCTGTGCTTGCATTTAACACATCGAGGCTGCAGACATGCGAAGGGGACCCAGGCAGAGATTCTGCCCGTGGACAACATCTAGACTAGACAAGAAGCCGGACTCGGTGTGAACCGTGGTTTCCATGCCGCAGGGCTCCTCGGGGAAGGGCAGAGCACGTTCTGGGGGCGTCCAGAGGCCGCAAGATGAGGCCCTGTGACAGCCGCACCATGTGGGGCCTGCGGCAGGGACAGTCCCGAGACACTGCAGGGCGCCCCGGATGGCCACATCCTCCCAGGGGTGTCCAGGGGTCAGGCCGCCTCCTAATTTCCCGGTGAAAAGGAAGGGATGTGCCGGCCTGGCATGGAGGGCCGGGAGAGCCCGGCTGACCTGAGACTGTTTTCTCCGTCTAGGCTGGTGTGGGAGACAGTGTAGGAGGAAGGATCAAGGCCAGCAGGAAGACAGTGCTGACTGGAGAGAGAGAAGAGCGCAGGGTAGGAGGGAGGCGGGAGAGGCGTCCGCAGCGAGCGTCAGACGGGCAGCGGGGCGAGGGTGGACACGGGGTGGGCGGTGGGGGGTGAAGTGCTCCGCTGTCTGTCACCACCGACCACAAGCTGAGCAAAAGCTCAACAGTCAAGGAGCCTGGTGGCAGAAACAAAAACGAAAGCTGCAGCTGTCCTGAAAGATCTCATGCCCTAGGGCCCCACCCACGGTGGCTGCAGACACCCTGGGGTCCCCAGCCCCCCACACCTGTGTGCACCTGTGCATGCTTGCTGGGCACCCCCACTTCCTCCAGGACCTGAGCAGCCCCCTTCCTGCCCTCTGCAGCGGACACGGTGGACCTGAACTGGTGCGTCATTTCCGACATGGAAGTCATCGAGCTGAACAAATGCACCTCGGGCCAGTCCTTTGAAGTCATCCTGAAGCCGCCCTCCTTTGACGGGGTGCCTGAGTTCAACGCCTCCCTGCCCCGGCGGCGAGACCCCTCCCTGGAAGAGATCCAGAAGAAACTAGAAGCAGCTGAGGAGCGAAGGAAGGTAAAGGCTGCCCCGCTCCTCCCTCCATCTCAGCACGAGGGGGAGACGGCTGGAGAGGACAGGGGGTGGGGTGACCCTGAGCTGGGGGGAGGTCACCGTCAACCTGCAAACACTCAGGCAGCGTCCCCCAAGTGTGGGGCAGACAATGAGGTGCCATTGAGGGGAGCAGAGAAGTAAAAGTCCCTGGGCTCTAGGAGCTGACGGTTTGGATACGGGGACAGGGCAGTGCCCTGTGTGCTTCCAAGAGGTGGCCTTATATGCACGGTGGCAAGAGCAAGATGTTGACAAACACCAAGGATTTAGGGAAAGCTCTTGCCCTGGTGTATAGTCTCTGTGCTTTCTGCTGATTCTCACGGCCAAACATGCATGCTGTCTTTTGTGTCAGCTTTTATCTTTCAAGCAGAACATTCTCCTACCCTGAATTGCTCTAGCACATCCTCTCTTCCTCTTAGGGCGTATGCCCCGTGCTGGCCTGGGTTTTAGTTATTTATGTATGTCTTATCTCTATTAGACATTCCCCCCAGGTTGCTAGGACAGTGCCTGGCACATAGTAAAAGATCATTTAGTATTTGTGAATGAATGAATATGGCAATGAGAAAAAGGACACTGAGGATATTTAGAAAAAGGCTGAAAAAAATATCAAAGAGTGCGTGCAGAAGGCTCTGCAGGTGGCGGGAGAATCCAGAGACTGTCCTTGCTTCCTGTTAAGGGGTGGGGACCAGGTCCAGGGAGGCGTGTGTTCTGAGTGTGCAGCTTTTCAGCTGTGAGGGTAAAAATACACCCCGGCATCATGCTCACTCTGAAGGGCTCACTCTGAAGGGCTCACTCTGAAGGGCCCACTCTGAAGGGCCCACTCTGAAGGGCCCACTCTGAAGGGCCTCTTTCTGCCTTGTGCGTCCCCAGTACCAGGAAGCAGAGCTCCTGAAACACCTAGCAGAGAAACGGGAACACGAGCGGGAGGTGATCCAAAAAGCCATTGAGGAAAACAACAACTTCATCAAGATGGCTAAGGAAAAACTGGCCCAAAAGATGGAATCCAACAAGGAGAACCGGGAGGCCCACCTTGCTGCCATGTTGGAACGGCTCCAAGAGAAGGTGAGTGTCCCTGGACCAGAGAGGGGCTCCTGGGACGCCTGCCGTCCTTCCGTGGCAAGTGCACGTGGACCTGCATAGCACACGTCTGGGAGGAAGCAGGCTTGGGCAGGAATGGGGGTGTTTCTATCAGACAGGACCCTTGGAGCGTTCCAAGGGGGCGATTTGGTATGTCAGAGGCAAGAAACACAACCAAGCTCTGGGTTTCCTTGGGAGCTATTCTGCACCGTTGCACAACTGAAAGTTTTCATTGTCTCAGGGAGAGAATATCTCTTATTTTCTAGAGGAAGCCTGTCTAATGCAAGGGTGTAGGGACAGACAGGCAGTTCCACATTCCTGGTTTCACCCCTGAATGGACTGATTGGATTTAATGAAAGATGCTTTCTTGAGCTCTTGGCTCCAAGCCGAGGGTCTGAGGCGCTGAGTTGCCCATTGAGCAGGAAACATGATTCTCTCCAAACCTCTTGACAGAGACCCAGTGAGCCACAGGTCTTCCCAATATGCTGCCTTTTGTCAATAAACCGAGTGGTGTCACCTGAATATGAGAAACACGAGAGGCTGGGTCGGTTCCGTGTCAGCAGAATTAGCAGCCCGTTCTGCTGAGAACACGCTGGCCTCGTTTCCTGGGTCTCAAGACCGCCCCAGTTTCTCCTGCAGCTCCTGGGAGAGCTCCAGCTCTGTGTTTTATTTCCAGGAGCCGCCTGCTGCGCGGTGACTCCCGGGACCTGATCGGTGGCCTCGTCCCATGGTGAGCAGCGTGGTCCCCACTCCTCCTTGCCCATCCACCTAGAGCCTTAGGCCCTGGGCAACTGCCACTAGAAAGATCTGGTTTCTGCACCAAAGATCTGAGTGTTGTGTAGACCCTGGAGCCGGCCAGCGTGTGGTGGCCCCTGCCCCTTGATGCACAGGGACATCGGGACACTCAGCAGGGTGTCACCTGGGAGGGAGCGATCTGGGTCTGTCTTCAGGCTGCCAGTTATTGAAGGGTGACTTGGAGCAAGCTCCAGAAGAAAGAAAATCTGGGGTTGGGATAGGCTGGGATGTAGGTTCTCAGGCCAAACCCAAAACAAATCATTGAGGCTGGACTCATGATACAGTGTTTGAAAGACTGTTTGCAAAACACTTCCATTCCATCATCCCACTAGCCTCACAGCAAGTCCACGAGGTAAGCAGGACGGGTGTCATCCTTATTTTGCAGATGAGGAAACCATGTCAGAGAAGGTCGATGACTTGCCCAGGGTCATATAGCAAACAAGCAGTGGCGCTGGGACTGGCAGCCAGCTCTTTGGCTCCAAGCCAGGTGGCTCAGGGAGACCAGCCACCATTGTCCTGCCAACATTTTGTCATGGAGGGGGACTCTGGAGGCCAAGGAAAGGGAGTCTAGAAATACAGGGCACTGCCCAGTGAGCTCACCTGGGCGTGGAGGTAGATTCACAGGTGGAGAGATTGGAAGGGTCCACCTTCCAGAGCAATAGCTGTGGAGGGGATGTGGACTCCAAGAAGCAAGATGTCAGAACAGACATTGGAGCGGACTGGGGGAGGCGGGAGGTGGGGTGAGAGCTAGGTGTGTGGTTTCTGCCATGCACACCTGTGCACCGGGCCAGAGACACCTCCACGATGCCTCCTGTGCCAGTGTTTGTGTGGGTCCCTGACCATCCATACCGTATTCACTCGGTATAAAATTCAGCAATACAGATACTCAAACCCTACGCCAGACCTGCTAGCCCCACTCTCTAGGGGTAACACTTTCTAGGTCACCATGATACATAGCAAAGTTCTAGAACAGCTGCCCCAGGCATGCCACTCCTCACTCCCAGGCCACGGTGGGTTCTTGGGTCTCTCCAGGGACAGATGTGTAGAGTAAGACATATTCTGGGAAGCTGGGCTGCCTCAGTGGGTCTACCCTGGGCTGATTGTGTCATCCGAATGTGATAATGCCAGGCCCCGGTAGGGACAACTTTTATGAGCACCTGCCATGTGCAATGGCCATAGTAGGAGATGCAAAATACAATTAATCTCTGCCCATTAGGAAATTGCCATCTAATAGAAGACCCAGTTATGTGCACAGTGAGCAGGTGAACACTAAAAATCACAGAATTCAAGAGGGGGAGGAGCTTCCCCCCCACCCCTCTCTTTAAAGATCAGAGAAGCGAGGCCTGATCGGAGGAGTGAGCTGGCCGAGGTCCCACGGCGAGTGGGCCTTGGAAGGCAGGTCCTGTCTTTTGGCTGCATCATGCAGTGAGACAAAAGAAGGTTCTCTTACAGTTGGTGTAGGAAAGCCCACCTTTTGGGACTTGGGCAACATTCCCTCAAATACTGCTGTGAATTTGTGCTTTAAGAGCGCTCATCTTTCACCAGGGGGTTAAGGCGACTCTCGCGGAGGAGACAGACAAGAACTAAAAGCAGCAGGGGCGTGGGGTTTGCAGGGGAAGCTCGCAGCGCAGCGAGGCCTGCCAGTTCTGTCTGCTCCTCTGGCATGGGCTACCTGCAGCGGCTCCTTGTATTCAGTCAAGGCGCGAAATCAGTCCAAACCCCAGAATGGCCAAATGAGGGACGGAGAGGTTGAGGGTCCTCGGGCCACCTCTGAGTGCGTCCCTGGCGGGAGGTTGGATGCACCAGCCCAGGAGCTCCGGGGGCGTGGGGGGCACACCAGCAGGCTCCCCCACCTACCTCCTGCCGTCTCACCTGCCGCCTTCTGCCCCTCTCAGGACGTCTTCGCAGCCTCAGCTCTTCACTTCCTGCGTGGTCATTCTTTGCTTTCGGTTTGGCTCCCATTGTCCCCGGGGTGTGGGGGGAGGGCAGCCTTGTGTGACCTGGCCTTTCCCTCCCTTCCTTCCCAGGACAAGCACGCTGAGGAGGTGCGGAAAAACAAGGAGCTGAAGGAAGAGGCCTCCAGGTAAAGCCCAGAGGCCAAAGAAGTTTCCAGCACAGCGGACAGCGCCCGCAGCGCCGCGTCCCAGGCAGCCCGAGCGCGGCCGCGCTCCCAGCACTGGGGTTGGGGGGAGGGGGGTGGCCAAGGGGCGTTTCCTCTGCTTTTGGTGTTTGTCCGTGTAAAGAATTGACCAGTGAAGCCATCCTATTTGTTTCCGGGGAACAATGACGGGGTGGGAGATGGGAGAGCAGGAGAGAGTTTGGGAAGGGGAGACGGAGACGAGCTCACTGGCGACGTCGCAGCCCTGCCCGGAGCAGACTCGCCGGCCCTCGCCCTTCACAGCCCTGCCTGGGCACTGGGCGTCCAGGCCGTGTGGAGGGAAGACGAAAGCCGGGCAGCAAAGGTCGCAGTGAGGGGCCGAGTCCCCCGGACGGGCGGTGGCTGCAGGGCCGCTAGGAGAAGCCGAGCCTGGAGCGGCCGGCCCGGAGGGGCGGCTCCCGCCCTGCAGCGGGTGGGGCAGGTCTGTGTGTGTGTGTGTGAGCCATTACCTTTTGATCATCACGACCAATGAAACATTGACTCCACGTCTCAGTTCTTTATTTCCTGAGTCTGTCCTTTGGGTGATTGTTGGAATGTTCTGGAATTTTAGCGTTTACCCACCTGACCAGCAGATGCCCTTTCCTTCCTTAATTTTGCAACCTGAGCAAAATTGTGTTGAATCAAGCTAGCCTTTGGCATAATGGAAAGGTTTTGTTTCTCATTTTCTTTCCTTTTTTTTAACCCCCCTTGTGGGCTGTCCTTTATTGGATTGAATGCACTGAAGTGATGAGAAAAGAAACTCAATCTTCCTTTCTGTGGACTGACATTCTAACTCAGTCCCCAAGACGCCGTGTAAGAAAGTTGTCTTAGGCTGTTCAGGCTGATAAAACAAAGCACCTTAAACCGAGTAATTAGTAAGCAACAGACGTCTATCGCTCATGGTGTGGGAGGCTGGGAAGTCCCAGATCAAGGCGCCCACAGATTCCATCCATATCTGGCGAGGGCTCCATTCTTTCCGGGTTCTCACATGGCAGAAAGGGCAAAAGGACTTCCTCAAGCCTCCTTTGTAAGGCACTAATCCCATTCATATCATCTCCAAAAGGCCCCACCTCTTCTTAATACTCTAGTGTTGGGAGGTAGGTTTCAACATAAGAATTTGGAGGGGACCCCGACATTCAGACCATAGCAGAAATCCTCAGCGCTTAGGGGTCTGGGATTCTAGGTAGGTCACAAAATGTGAGTAAGGCTATAAAGTGTTTGTTAGTGAAAGACAGAAGAGGCATTCGGATCCAGCACCCAGGGTCTGCAGGACACCGAACCACGGCTGGACAGGAAGCCCTGTCCTTCCCTTGCCCTGCAAACAGGCGTGGGGGCAGGGGTGAAGCAGGCCTCAGGGCATCACTCTATCCTGCCCTGCACACTGTGTAGTTTTGTACAGCTTTGCAAATAATCCACTTGCTATTGCTAGTTTTTTCCCCCTCACCAGTTTACTGCAATTTCGCTTTATTTTAAGAGAAGATCACAGGAGGGATCCAAGATGACAAAAAAAGATGGTAACGATGGTGACAATGGCAGCTAACTTAGCACTTGCTAGGTGCCTGACAGTTTTCTAGGCTTTTGCATTCTTATTATCTCACTTAATCCTCACACCAACTGTAAGAGGTGGGTACTCACATCACCTCATTTTGCAGACAAAGAAATGGAGGTCTAAACAGGGTAAGGCACGGGCCCAAGGTCACACAGGTAATAAATGGGAGACCAGCCACCTGGATTTGGTGGTTTGCACGTGGAGTCTGTAGTCTTAGCCGCTCTGCTTCACTGTGCTGTTCTAGACACTTCCAAACTAGGGTGTGAGTACTAGGGCTGTGTCCCCCAAACTGTGAATTGTGACTCATTGGATGCTGAGATCAACTTAGTGGGTCCCACTCCACTTTTCTTTCTTTCTTTTTATAAAATGGACTAGAATAGAAAACAAAGCATCAAAATGCATCAAAATGTAATGGAGGTATTGTTTAATGGAAATTGTGTTTCAGTTTTATATTTTGTGGATGTATGGACTGATCACAGCATAAAACATGTATATATATATATATATATATATATATATATTTTTTTTTTTTTACTGGGCATAGCAGTTGAAACTTTTTGAAAGTCACTGTCTTAGCACGAGCACGGAGACAGAGCCAGGATGTGCAGGCTGCAGCCCCGGATCCTTTAGGAAGCTGCTGTGCTTGAGAAAGTGCGAGCTGCAGCCATCAACAACCAGCTTTTTCTGAGCAAACAGAGACAGGAGAATGGATGGCCTCTAGGGTCTATTTTCAGAAATTTACCCCATTGGTGCCTCCATCCTCCCGCTGGAATATCCAAGGCCGGGAGGAAGCTGCATTCCTGCCACTCTCTTTTGCCAAACTGCTGCACCTGGCCGTTCATTCATTCCGTGAATGAAGGAAAACAGAAACCAGTTTTATTTATCTTCATGTCATGCCAGTCCCTTCTCCAGGATTTCTGTATAGGGTGGGATTAGGAGTGGCAATGCCATGGAAAGAGAGGCTGGGCCTCGTCTAGAAGCTTCCTTTGTACAGCGGTTTACTGAAACACTGTGTATATATACATAAGATGGAGAAGGGAGATATCAAGATTATTATGCAGGCGACTAAAACCCGCCTCCAAGACAGCCCAGCTTGGGGCCCCACTAATCCCTGCGCCTGACAGTAAAAACTGAAAACTCCAATTACATGCTCAGCGTGGGGCCAGCTTCCAAGCGTTATAAAGCGATTGCTGTGTTAAAAGATTTTACAAAGCAGTTGGGACACACATGAAACGATCGAGGCAATGGTTCTTAAATTTTCAATTGACATCCAAATCCCTCTGAGAGCTCGTTAAAGTGGAGATTTCTTTGTTTTAGATGTTTGCAAATGAAAATAATCGATCAGAATTATGGCATCTTTTGAGGGTGTTGCCCTGCAACCTACATTTTAGAAAGCTATTTCCCAGGTGTTGTTTTTTTCTTTTTTTGAGATTTAATAAGATTTCATCTTATTTTCAATTATATTTGGTTATTGACAAATCTATTAAATTAATATACAACAGGATGGGCAAACGAGTTGTTTACAGCTATATCTGTCCCTTCTGTTTGGCCAGTGCCCCGGCACTCCAGCTGTGCAGCCTCTCCCTGGGGTTCCGGGGCACCCCCACCATTCAGACACTAGGGGGTTCAAGGTTGTCACCCTGGGGGGCCTTAGAGCCTCACCTCAGCACTGTAGCTGGCATCCATTCCATTGGTTAAATATTTACTTGTTTACAATTGGCAGATAAGATTATACATATTTATTGTGTACAGAATGGTGTTTTGAAGTATTTATACATTGTGGAAGGAGTAAATTGAATTCCAGGTTTTTGGGAGCCAACCGTGACCCCAGGTTGAGGAGTTCTGCACATCAAGAACCAAGGCTTAGGCAGTGTCCCCAAGGGCAGGAGGAGGGGTTGGTCACTGTCTGCTGGGATCCGCTGAGAAGACTTGGGGTTGGGGTGTGGGGGCAGGCAGCCCTGGAGCTGAGCCTTTAAGGATGAGCAGACTCTGGGCAGACCCAGAGGGAGAGGCAGGGCTAGAGAGGTGGGTGTGGGCCCCGCCATGGGGTCCGGGCAGTAGCTGCAGTCGCAGGAGTGAATGAATTCCTCCGTCCGGGAAGAGTAGGAGGAAAGGGCCCTTAGATCCCCTGATGATGCAGCAGGAAGAGGAACTGGAGCCAACGAAGGTCAGTGTCAAAGAGAGGCATGTTTTAAATCCCGAGTTCCTAAACCAGTGCCTTCCATGGGGGCTGCAGAGAGCAATTTGGAAATGCATGGCAGCAATTTCGGTTAACACAAGGAGCAGTGGGCGAAGGCCAGAGATGCTAGATGCAGGAAGAGAATGTCTCAGACCACCCTCCACTTCCGAATGTAAATGAAAAACCTGCCTGTGATTACCTAAGCCCAGAACCTAACTAAGTTTTACCATATAAACACAAACAGTTTCCACCCCAGTTTAAATCTACACCGGCTTTTCCAGAAATGCAAGTCTTCAGCTCCGCTAGTCTCTGGTCTTTGCCTTTTGTTGGGTTCATCTCTCTGCGCCCTCTCCTTGGCCTGAGTCCTAAACCTCTCTGTCCCCTCCCTGTCCTTGGATTCAACTCTGTTCTCCTGCTCAGTGCCTTCCCTCCCAAGCGAAAGGCTACATTGGAGCCACCCTAACAAAGTTTAAAAGCAAAACTTGGTAGATTCGAAGTCTGTGATGGTTGATTTTGGATGTCAACTTGTCTGGGTTAAGGGATACCCAGGTAGCTGGTAAAGCATCATTTGTTCTCAATCATTGCTTTAATTAGTCTCAATTGCTTCAGCAGGCTCTGAGCCCCTCCCTCTTCTGCTGTAAGGGAACCCCAGGTGGTTTTAATTTAAAATGACTCAGCTGCCCTGGTGGGTGTGTCTGTGAGGGTGTTTCCAGAGATTGGCATGGGAGCACCCTTGGGCCTTTGGCCTCAATACTGAGAGTTATAGCATTGGCTTCCCTGGGTCTTGGGACCTTCAAACTTGGACTGAGAATGTTCTAGAAATTTGGCCTCCATCCACAAAATCATTTTTTCCTTTCCAAACTTTACTTTTCTCACGTATAATTTCTTTTAGTACACTATAGTGCTAATTTAGAGAAATGATGTGTTTTCTGGTGGGCAGATGTGATGTGCTGCGATTAGTAGCTGTGTTGATCCTGGAAAACGAAATTCTTTTGAAAAGAAGAACTCTAAACCAGAATAATGTCAGAATAATATCTTTCCTCCTCCTTGGAGAATCTGAAATCTGAAAAATTTCCTTGGTCTCTATTTTTAATAAAAATTTGGGGAAGCTGAGTAACTTCTGGGTAGCAAATGCATTAATTCGGAAGGAATATAACCTCAGGTCCACGATGGGAGTGCTAGCCCATAGTGAGGGACAAGGGAATTAGGAATCTATGAGACATGTGTACACATGCATGCACACTGCTCAGCTACAGGAAATCACCGCTCCTTAAATCAAAGTCTTGCTGTAGCTTCAAAAGGAAAAGTATATTGTTTACGAGTGTCTCGCTCCAAGCTGAAACCATGCTGCCGCCTGATCAAATAGTTCCTGGGCATTCTGGTTTCTCGTCTTGCTTTTAGCTGCAAGGGTCTGTTAAAAATCTGAGGGACAATGTCCTTTACAGCCATACCAAGGAACTGGGGGTTAAGAACTTATACCATAAATTACCCTTGAAACATCCAAGTCTAATATTAGGGTCTCCAGGCAGCCTGCAAGAAGCAGGTAGAGGGAATTCATCCTCCTAGCTCCTGTATGGATAGACTGTATTCCATTGTCAATTATTCTATTTAATATGTCTTTACTAATTGCAGGCAAATGCCCCAAAGCATTTTAACTATATAAACGCATGTATTAGGGGACTAAAAAATATGAATGCTAAGAATACCAAGTATTCAAAACTTAGGTAGAAATACAGAAGTGGGGGCACTAAAGCATGAAATATTTAATAGGGT